TTCATTTTTGAAGCTAGCATTTTCTGCACCTGTGTCAATTTTTTTATAGTAAATATGGATCACAAATCTCATCAAATATTTTACTTACGATAAACCTATACTTTTGAATTTTGTATCTTTTGCTCTCTTTTAACATAGTAGTAGAATGTTCAAGATCTGACTCGTTGGGAATTTGGTATTTCTGGATTTTAGATCATCAGTTTAAATCTAGTGAGATTACACATAGAAATAATGATATTCTTTTCTTATGAAGTAGTGAAGCATTTATGGCCTTAAAGAAATCAAAATTTAAGGGGGGGGGTCCTCAACATTTATTTCTTTGCTTTATTAAGCATTTCTTTCAATATAAGTAGGTAGTGTTGCTTAGTTTTTTGTGCTAATGCACTTATTAATTTTGTCCTAACTTGTGTACTTTCTCTTTTATTTTGTTGCCAGATATAATATCTTATTCAAGTCCTTGCCGAGAATTTCCACTAAACTGTTGTAGAGACATTAGGATTTTTTTGGAAGCAGGCAAGATGAAAAATAAGCAGATGCCTTCTCCGGGAATCTGGAATACCGACTCAGTGTTGCAGAACCACTATACAACGAAGGCACGCTAGGAAAGTGGGAGAACTGCCTTATATACTCCCCTTTTTAAAAGGCGACTGAGGATTTTAGGAGATCCAATCGCGAAATCCTGGGTGGGAAGAATCCTCATCTAACACCCTTTTAGTTCGGGTGCCACTGTAGAGATGTTAGGATTTTTTTGGAAGCAGGCAAGATGAAAAATTAGCTACCGCCTTCGCCGGGGAATCGAATCACGAACCTCTGGAATACCGGCCCAGCGTGCAGAACCACTACACCACGAAGGCAGGCTAGGAAAGTGGGAGAAATACCTTATACTGTTAACCGAAGTATTTTTATTAACAATGTCTTTGTCACTTTCTTCACTGTCGGTACTGATATTTTCTGGATTTAGAACTATATTACAGATTTTGCCGTCCATTAATTGATTGATTATTGAAACACTGGTGTCGTCATAATAACAAACTACTTCTCTTGTATCATCTTCTTTTATTACTACTTCTCCATATTTCTTCATAAATTCCATTAATTTGCAAATTTTGCTTTTTGTTTGTGATATCCGGAAACCTTGAAATTTGGTGGCTGTCTACTTTAGACTATTGGCAGTATATTATGAGACAGTGACTCAAGACATGTTCTGCTAAGTTTTATTGTACTTCAGTTAACTGTGAATTATATTAATTTAATTATTTATTATAGTTACGTCTACTTCCCACATTTGCTTAATGCTTAGTGTAGTCCCATATATTTAAAATCTCATACTTAAGGCTTCTCGAAATAGCAAATCAGTTATTCTTAATTCAAATAGCTTTAAATATAATCTTTTAGGTTATGAATATTATTAACAAAATCTTGCTTTGAATACAGAAAAAAATTACTGTTAAACTTATTGTCATCACACTCAAATCACAGCACAGTTGGCTGAAGTCCGTAGTCATCCATAGACTCCAACTACTACGGATTCTCCTTAGTTTCTACGGAAATTCATGAAAAACTACGAGCTACGAAAAGTATGGAAAAAACTACGGATTTTACAGAAACAAGAGCAGGAAGAACCAGTACGCAAAACGGAACCAACTAATTCATCCGATGATTGGCTGAATATTCGTGTTATCATATATCACGTGTTGAGTGCGTTCCTAGTTTTGAAGAATTAGCCAATCGTAGATCAGTAACTCCAACCGTTAACGACTTATCAATAGTTCCACCCAATTGTCTGTCTCCCAGGTTCCTCGCTGATGTGTGTTTAGGCTGCATCCGGCTGCATTGTGTAGTTTACGGCGAGAGCTTAGCGTGTGTCTTGTGAACTGTGAATCAGGTGAAAGATTTTTTAATCATAATACTGTTACCTCGAACAAAGAAGCCAAAATTATCAAAGCAGAAGTTTAAAGATTCATATTCTTCAGAATTTCCATGCATTAAAGCGTCCGAAATTTCTGTGAATCACGCACACACTGCAGTGTATGCAACAAAGACTTCTCAGTTGCTCATGGCGGAAAAGATGACTGTAAATGGCATGTGTTTTCTCAAAAGCATATAGAACTTGGCACCGTAAAATCTAAAGAAATAACAAATTTCTTAATAAAAGATGATGAAACAGGTCCTATAAAAGCCGAATGCTATTTTGTTCGTTTTTTAATTGAACATAATCTACCGCTTTCTGTTTCGGATCATTCCAAAGAGCTTTTCAAAGCAATGTTTCCGGATTCTGCCATAGAAAAATTTATTTAAATTTAGCTGCGGTCATACCAAAACTGCTGCTATTGTGAAAACGCTTGCAGAAAATACTGTTGCTGATATTATAAAATCAGTGTGCAGTACATCATTTTCTCTAAGTACTGATGGAAGTAATGATAACAATGATAACAAACTGTACCCATTGGTTATAACATACTACAGTAAAGAAAAGGGAGTGATAATTACTTCATTGATTTCTATTTTAGAATGCACGAATAATACAGGAGAAGGTATTTTTAATTGTATAAATGAAAACTTTAAAAACAAAGGTTTAGAATGGAAAAATTGCTTATCATTTTCTCCAGATAATGCTAGTAATATGATTGGAAAGTTTAAAGTGTAGCATCATTTATCAAAATGCATCAACCAAGTATAATCACCCGAGGTTGTCCGTGCCACCTCTTGCATATAGCTGCAAAAAAAGCTACTGAAAAATTAATTGGCTCAGAAATTGAAATGTTGATAATAGATATATATTTTTACTTGGAGAGAAAAGCTCGAAACGGAAGCATAGCTTCAAAGTTTGCTCAACAAATTTTGGGACAGAATGCAAAATCTCACAAAATTTTGAAATATTGCAGCAGTACGAGATGGTTGTCTCTTTTAGAATCTATAACAAGGATTTTGGAACAGTGGGATGCTGTGATAAATTTTTTTGGAGATAAACCAGATAACAGTGAGAATGAAGGAAAGAGATTGCAAAACATTAAAAAAATTTTACAGTCACCGACCACCAAATTGTACTTGTTATTTTTGAAAAATACTTTGCCTTTGTTTATAACAGTAAATATTAATTTGCAACAACAAGCTCCTTATATACATAAATTGAGAAGAGAACTTTTTGAACTTTTAATGAATTTATTTTGTTAGATTCGTAAGACCATCAGTAATTTCTAAAGAAAATGAAGATGTTACTCTAACGTCTATTCCATTTCAGAAGTATAGTAAACAAAAAGAAAATGAAAATTTAGTGATTGGGTGCGGAAACAAGACTATATTTTAAAAATGCCAAGTTGAATGAAAGTGAAGTGAAATCATTTTTTCAATTCTGTGCGAGCTTTTTTTTGTAACTGCATGTTCATATATAATTGATAAATTTCCACTGAGTGATCCATTTCTAAAACATGCTGAAGTTGCTGACATCAACTTGAGAACTGAAGTCTCATTTTCATCTGTTCTTTACTTGATGAATACTTTTCCATCCATTATTGATGAAAAATGTCTTAATCAAGTAGAAATTGAATTTTCCATGTATCAAGTAGATGATTTGAAAGAAATTGTAGATTTGCGTATTGATATAGCATGGGGGGAGAAATTGCCAAATTAAAAAATATGAATGGGTGTATTAAATACAAAGTATTGCCTTCTGTAATGCTTGCTGTCTTAATAATACCTCATTCAAATGCAGCTTGCGAAAGAATTTTTTTCTATTGTTAAAAAAAATCAGATGGAATTTCGACCAAATTTAGGTCTTAAAACTCTTAAAGCAGTTTGTTTTGATTGAAAAAATAAATATGCAGGCAAATGAAGAACTGTGTTATAAAAAACATTCTCAAATCAGAACTTAAGCATGCTACATATAAATCTTTGCATTCATAAATTATGCATATTTTGTTTAATACTTATATGTATCATTCTTGGTTATTTAAATTTTTATTTCCCTGTAGAAATCATATCCAGAATAAAGATATGATTTATAGCTTCTGATTTTTTCTATGATTAGTAGTGATTTGAAGTAACTACTTTTTATTAGTGAATGCTTGAGGAGTTAAAAGAAAATTTCTAATTAAATGTGCATATAATTTACAAGGTATATTTTTAATTATTCAGTTTTATATGTATATGGATTTTAAATGTAATAAAATTGATTACAATTAATTATTAATTTAAAATTAATGAATGGTTAATTACAACATACGCTACGCGCACATTTTCGAAGTTGTAAAAATGTCGTTCGCGCGTTGACTACTGACAAGGTTTGCTGAAGGTTGGAGTCTGGTCATCTCCAAGTATAATGTTAAGCATTATAAGTTATCATGCTCTTTGGTATTCAGGTACTAATAATTTAAAAACAAAGTTTTAAACCTCACTGTGGGAATAATTTTTCAAGTAGCCCCAAGTTGATAGCCATAGGTGATGAAAGCAAAATATAACAAAAAAATTTATTCACCAGAGTGGCATCTGGGTTGTAAGTTATTCAGCAATGAAAAAGTTCATTGCTGATTGTTTATTCATCGATGGTGTTTCGGTGTGAGATGATTATGCTAAACAGAAAGGGCAACTATGAAGAAAATTGTTGATTATACAGATTAATACTCATAAATGATTGTGTTTCTTCAATGTGGAAGTGTTTTATTGAGTGCTGAAGTGAAATTAAGAATCAAGAACCCCCATATGCTTTAATATGAAAAAATGTATATTGTGCATGTGTTAAGTATTAAGCATGAGCTAAAGTGAGACAGTATATCTGCAATCTAATCATTTCACTCTTTTTGAAAAAAAAAAAAAAATTATTTGTAGTCCAGATATTGAATGTCCAGATTTTGGACTTTGTACTGTATTTACTACATAATTATTTTTATTATTATATTATAATTAATTTAACATTTTATATGTAATTAATTGGTATTTGCATATGTGTTAAGAAGTGTCATTTACATGCAGTTAACTTATACAACTATAATGAAATTTTATAGGAGTTAATAATTGTCCGTTTTCAAGCTGCTAATGAAGAAGAAGCAGTCACATACAACTCTTTTTATTCATATTTGAGCAGTAGGAAACGATATGGTGTTGTCTCCAATTATTCAAAGAAAATTAAGGACTTTTATATCTTACCACTAGCTGCAACAAGCCCTGTACCAATTGTTTTGATGCCTTTTGATGGCCCAGGTATATTTAAAAATATATGCATTATTAATCACTAGCTAATGTATACTGTTCAATACCTTGCCATACTGTGTGTGTGTGTGAGATTAAAAAGAACAGTGAGTGAGGCTGAAGTAACTGAAATTCCTGATAGTGTATATTGCTTTAAAAGCTTATATTCATAATGAGTTTTATGCATGATTTCATATTTACATGAAAATTAAAATGATGTTATTGCTCTTAATTTTTGAGGAACTTTCTCGGCTGTTTTGTGCCTAGCATAACCATCTTTGATACATTTTACTTTAAATGCTAATTGATGTTGTTAGAAAGCTGTGAAACTTAATGGAATGTCTTGTGTGTAACCGTGATGTTATGAGTATTATTAACTCATATTGTCAACATTACATTCAAGAAATGTTTATATTTTCTACTTCATTAATGTATAAAAGCAATTCTAATGCTCAAGTAGAATCCTTATTTGTAGTACTACATTTATCATATTTTTTATAATTATTTTAGTATAAATCATGACTTTCTGAAGACAGGTGTTTGTTATGAGAGATTTTTCACATATTTAGCTTAATAAAAAACAGAACTTAAATACATTGTGATATTTTGTGCTCCAAGATTATGGGCCCATAGGAGAATTTCATTCTTTCCCCCTGAGAGTGAGACATTTATAAGTGAAATATCTAGCTGATAATGAAATGATAATACTTTCCTTAATTAAATTTGTTTTATTTATTACTAAATTGCAGTGCTGCCTACCTGATTTGAAAATGTAATGAATAGAATGGAAATCATGATTACTTGATATCTCTGAAAAGTTATTTAAGAAAATAAGAATCTCATGGTGACATGCCTTTTGAGATTATACTAATCTATTTTTTTTACCCAGTATTTAAATGCATTAGCTCTTTCTGGTTTGTTGCTGAATTACATAAAACTTTTGAATTTTTATATTATGCAAATTTAATGAATAATTTGTTTCTCTAGAGAATTAAAATTTATACTAGAACAGTATGAAATACACTGAAGGATAAAATGCATAAAAGCATATTGAGTTTTTCGTGTAATAAAAGGAGCTATTAAGCTCTAACTTCATTGTGGTGTTTGACATGCCATTCTGGTTCAGATTTATGATTTTTAGCTTTCCCTCAAAATAAAAACTTGTCACTTAACTATTGAAAGACAGTGATGCATTGTTACGTGACCATATTTCAGCCTGCAATGAAAGTTTTTGAAATCTGTTGTTTAGAAGCTTATACATTGCATTGAAAAATCAAGAAATTTAAATTTTTTTATTACTTAAATAGAACGTATTGTAAGAATTCATTTCTTATGTACATGTATGTTTTTATGCATGTGAAATTAGTGTATAAGTTATTCTTTAAATTAATTATATCTATGCTGAAATTTTAGTATAAATGTCTTTAAATGTCAGTGATGGCAAATATTTCAGATGCACTAGCAATCAATCACTCCTGGTATTATATGCTCTTTACATGCAATTTAAAAGAAAATTTGTTTGGACTCAGCTGATTTTTTTGTGATAAAGTGAACTGCTGAGAAGAATGGTGGTTTAGTATGCAAATATTGTATAGCAAATTTTCTTAGTTTGGCAGAAATTTAATTTGAAATTTATTGAAGAGAAAAACTGTTATAGTCCTAAATTTAGTGCTTTGGGTCAAAAGTAAGGTTTTTTTTTTTACTCGAACTCATATGTAATGGCCAAATTTTTGTGTTTTTCAGTAATTTACCCTCAGCTCAGCTAATGCACAATATGCTGCAAGACTGTAATTTTTTTAAAACACATCTGGAAAAGGCATGGAATTTCATTCTATTGTTCGAGTGGAAACTCTGAATTAATGTAAATATTGGAACTAGAGAAATGAAAACATGACCTATATTCTGCAAAATTCTCTAATCTTAATACAGTCCTTAATCCAAAAATGTGCGAATCATGGGAGTTCTGATTGCGTGTGTCATGAAACAAAAGAAATTTATTATGCGTAAACAGGACAGTCAAGAAATGAAGTTTTTGCTGTGTTATGTTCAAAACCGGTAAACCATATGAATATTAAATGAAGCTAAAAATTACAAACAAGGAACATAAATTAAAATATTTCATTGAATAGCAATAAATTAAAATGAAATATTGGACAGTTTTCCCATTTTTATTCATATTTTTTTAAGTTTGCTAGCAATGTACTTCTCATTGTACTTTTTATCTTGTAAGTTGTGAAATGTGGTCAGTGAGACTAATATATTTTAGAATGCAGTGAAGTCTCATCTCATTAGTTGCAGATTGTGGTTTAACTCCTGTGTTTTATGTTCCCTATTTTGTTATTGCTATTTACTTTTCTATTTCTAATTTTTCTCTTCTTTATAAATGGTAAATACACATGTATGTAAGCACATATGTTATGAAATGTGTTCCAGATAGAGAAAATAGCTATAAATTTTGCAACATTGCATATAAATTTCAAGAAACATTTATTTTAAGAAAAGGTATAAGACATTTTTATATAATTATTGCAAAATAGGAAGACATCTAAAAAAATAATTTTTTTTTATTTGTAACATTCTCTTGCTGTTATTAAGGATTCTTCAGGAACTGAAGCATCAACTAATGTAGTGGCTTGTAGAGTAGATTATGTAATGAATGTTACAGTTATATTGAATTACATGAACTGCGTGTTTTGTGTAATCTAAAATGTGTGTAGTGATGTAATTCTTTGTTTGATTTTTTTTATGTGCATGTTTTGATTATTATTTTTTCAGTGCATTTTTTTTTCCTATTTTTACATCTCTGCTATGCTAGAAAATATTATTTTGCTGTGTTGCTATGTTAGTAATTAATTTATATGTAAAATTCATGAAAGAAATGGTAGAAAATTGCATTAATTTCATTTGAAGTACTGCTGGACTAATTTCAACTTCAACATGTTGAACGTTTGTAAGATACTTCTCGTAGTGGTTTTGCATGCTGGGACGGTATTCAAGAGGTCTGTGGTTCAGTGGCAAAGATGTGACTCCCTAACCAGTAGGTATTTGAAAATGACATGCAGAAATCTCAGCTGTTCAGGAAAAAAATCGCATTTAAAGCACACCTTCTTCCTTTTATTGAGTACTTTATTCCTAGACTTTATAAGGGAAGATAGGTTTTTTTTTTTTTTTTTTTTAACAGTTTTGTTTACTTTTTTGCTGGTGGTTCAGAGGTCTCGGTATTAGATCATTCTGCATTTCTAAGTGTGTACTGTAACAAGCTTGATGGAAGTTGTCAAAGAAATATCAGCTTCATTTACTGAATTGAATCAAATATAATTTCCGTAAGTGAACCAGACACAAATTTAGCTGTAAAAGCAGTTTGCTTTTAACAAAATTTGTATAAATAAGCAAGTGCTGATGTAACTTAATACAAATATATGGTAACTTAGCTTAAAAGTTATAGATTTGAAAAGCTGAAGTATCTCTTTCAGAGGCAGTAAACTTCTTAATATAAAACAATGCAGGATTATTTTGTTCATTTAGAAATACACAATTAAAATGCACAAGTTGAATCGTAGATAGGCAATAAATAATTTCAAAATGCTGCAAAGTAGTTTCAGAAAGTTTTTAACTAATAAAAATTTAATGTCTGTAAATTTATGTGAATTATTAATAATGATTCAGTAGCTAATTTTAATATTATTGTTGCAAGAAATGAGTTCTGTAGCTTTTCAAAGTTAGAAAACTTTTTTTGTAAAATTATATTTTTTCTTCCACAGTTAAAGCTCAGAGTTTGGTCTTTAAAAGCTATCTCAGATATGATTTGTGAAGTTAACACTAGCATTACAGTGTTTTCCGTATACCTATAACCACAATCAGTGGTCATTTTAACCGCTTGTTCCGAATAGAAGAAAATACTCACTTTTTGCTAATATTATGTAAAGTTAGGGCTTATAACAATACATTTTGCTTGTTTAATAAGTAAATAAAGTAAATTGAATAAATATGTGCAACTAAAAGATAATTTAATATAACAAAGAGCAAAATATATCAAAGTGAGTAAATATATTAATCGAAGGATAATTTAATTTAACAAAGGGCTATAAGAGAAAAAAGTCACTTTTAAAAACAAGTCTTATTTTTAAACTTCTTATCATTTAATAAATTGTTTCATAAAAATTTTCATTGTGAAATAAATATATTAAAAATTACACATATTAGTACTTATGTTACTCGGTATTGCAGTGCATACAGATTGTTAATTTTTTTATTTTAACTGTACTGGTTCCACAAACATATTTTTTACAATATTCACACGTAGTCAAAGTTTTGTTGTCTCTGCATGCATTTATTGTTTATGCTTACGGGAAGGGTTGACACAAGTATCAATTCTCTTTTGATTAGATACGAAAAGTTTGTGAATTTTGGATTAAATGTAGAACTTTCGAAGCTCCCCAGCCGCATTCAAAATAAAATCACAAAGGATGATATTCTTATATTCAGTTGTTTCCTTGCAAATTATCTATGCATTTATTACGGCCAAATCAAGAATATATATATATAAAAAAAATTTGAACTGTCCAACGCCTGGATGAGGACTTCACTGAGTATTTTTTGGTCATTGGGTTCAAAACATCAACTCTATATTTGGTCAAATAGTAAAAATTCACAACTTTTGGTGTATTTTTTTCATCAGATGGGACTTCCAATATTGGGTGCATGGTACTCAGGAGTAGGACAAGTCCCCCCCCTTGATAAGATGTAAGCATTATATTGTCATGCTTAGTAATATTACTAGAGTAGAGCTCATCCCTCATGCTTTTGAAAGAATAAAGGATTTCTTTTTCTAAACTATTTATTGCATTTTAAACTATTAAAATTCATTTTTTTATCTGTCAGCAAACAGGAAATAGCTTAAAAAGTACAAAATATTGAGAAATCTATGATTTTTCTGGATATGGTCAAAATGACCAATAGCCATAATTCCAGGTTTAAATATTTAAGTTTAGGTATAAGCAATAATATTGTCAAAAATATTTACTTAAAATGTCAAAAAATATCAGTTATAAATATATAATTAAAAAGGTTATGTCCAATTAAAATGGAGATACGGTCAAAATGACTGTTTTGGTAATTTAGTGTTAATTCACACTGTGTAAGTAATCTTTACACCGATTATACTAAGTGTTAAAATTTTGTATTAAAAAATTTGAAACATTAGTTCAAAGAAATTCAGTTAATCTAATGTTCAATATTGCTCCGCTCCTTATGGGGAATATTAAATTTCTAATTTCTTTTTCTGTATTTATATGGAAATACTTTTATTAGAGATGTAACATCTGGAGGTATTTAGTGAATTTTAAATTCTAAGAATGCTTATTGCATGGTGCTAATTTTTATTTAATAAGTTGTAGGTACTGAAGATTTTGAGATAAGAATCAGTAAGGTTAGAAGTAGGATAGTTTGCAGCTACTAAAAATTGTGTAAAGCTTCAGTAGTGATATGAAATCTTAAGCTTGGTTTGTGAGAAGGCATGTAATATTTGTCCCATATTAACAATATTTAATTCTTAAATAGGCAGTGTAGTTTCTTCTCTAGGTTGGATTTAATTATTTCTTAAGTAGGGACATCAAATTCTAAATAAAAGTCAGTTAAGTGTTAACCTCACATCATATTGTGCAAAACTGTAAAATAAATTTCGTTTCACTTGTGAAAGAACTTTTACTCATATTTAAGCTGTCAAGCCAAATAATTACCTTAGAATTTTTTAAATGCTTTCTGAATATATAAAATGTTGCATTTTAGAGTGAATCTGATTTAGAGTAATCTGCATTTTTTTTTTTTTTTTTAATATTTTGTTTATGCTCATTTTTCTACTGTTGAGATGGTGTTGTGTATTGTTTCTTTTAGTTTTTTTGCACATTTGTTGTTTGTATCTGAAGATAAGACTTTTTGTATATTAAGGTTTCAGCTAATAATTTAGTGAAATTTACATTGCTTTTAATTTTGATTCTTTTACCTTATAGGTGTTGTACTATGTGTATAATTTTTACTGCTTAATTTTTATATCAGTATGATTCTGAAATATGTAAAATATTAACAAAAGTATTGTTCATTTATTTGGGACGTAGTAAACTGTTATTTTCATTTAGGTTTGCCTACTCCTAGGCCTCATTTGTTACTGGGTGTTATTGTTCGACATAAGATCAGACAAGTATCGCCTACTCGTATTTCAAAACAGAATGTGTAAGTATTAAATGTTTATTTCTTAAAGCATGTTTTTAAATTTCGTCATGATGTGAAAGTAAAGAAACTCCATATTTTAATTTTTAGATCTGAAGGTGATCAGAAAGTTGTCGATGGTTCTTACACACCTCCTCTTGAAACCCGATCTTACACACCTCCTCTGCCAGTATCAGTGGATAATGAAGGTGACATTGTCTGTGATAGTTTCTATAGCCCAACTGCTGATTTAAAAATCATTGTTTCAAATAAAGAATCGGATTTAACTCGGTCAGCATCATCTAGTACACGGAAACTCAAAAGGAAATCAGAAACTCCTTATGAACCTTCATATATTCCACCAGTTAAGAAATTACCTGAGGTAGAAATTTCACCTAGTGACAAAGATGATGATAAACCATATGATCCTGAAA